CCATCTTTGGCTATGGGTGGTAATTCTATTCCTCCGCAATTGATGTCTCCCACATATCATGTGAGTGTTAGTTTAACATTGTATTTTTTGTGTAGATATAATATGTAACTCAAATCATGATTGCGAAACCTAATATATGACGTTGTAGGCAAACAATTTGTGGGAGATTTATGTAGTGCCAAATTCTTTGCCGAATTCAATGCCTCAACATTATTCTACTCAACCAACATTCTAGTCACTACTTCAAGGTTCATGTGGGTATGCTATTGGGTTTCGATATTCTCAAGAATCAAATAGTCCAATGTGTAGTCAGGTTCATCCTTGCTATCTTTTTAATTTTTAGTTGCTGAAAATTCTAACTTTTTAGTTGCTGAAAATTCTATTAGAGCATGTATTTACTTACTGAAAATTATGTTTAAAGCATGTATTTAGTTGCTGAATTTGCTGTTGTCTTCTTAATTTTTACTTGCTAAAAATTATGTCTTCGTACATGCTAAAAATTCTGTCTTTTTAGTTGCTGAAAATTATGTTTAGCTCATTTATTTAGTTGTTGAAAATTCTGTCTTCTTCCGTTTTAGGCTATCGATCGGCAGCAAGTGTTAGAACGCACTGAATAGAAGTCATAGCAGTTAAAATTGTGAAGCAAACTGATGCTAAAATTGTTCATGTTGTTGCTACTGCTGGAAAGTGATGTTGCTGTTGTAGATGCTGAAATTAGGCTAAAATGTGTGTTATGGCTTGTATTTGCACTGGAAATGTTCCACATTTCATTAATGTTAACGGCTTGTATTTACACTTGATGTTATCCTTTGTATGGTTTGTTAGTGTCACTGCTACATGGAAGGATGCAGTACTTCATTTTCTTCTGAGTGATTGTTCCAAAATGAATAAATGGACCAATGTGTGTGTTGAAATTTTTAGATTTTCTTTTGTGTGAAAGAAAAGGGACACATCATTTTCATTTGTTAGAAAAATTATGCCAAATTGGTGTCTTATTTTTTGAAGACCTATAGGTGTATTCTCAAGCATAAAAGTTAATTTAAAGCATAAATTCCAATCTTGGCACTAGCAGTTATGTTATTATAAGCAGTGAACTATTGGTTGTGTTTTGAGTAATATTTTCTTGTTTTTGATATTTGTAGAGTTGAACCAGGCCTATGGTAATGGAGACTTTGTGCTTTGTGTAGATAACTTATGAGTGGTTGGTTCTTTAAGGAGTCCTTGTGCTGATCAGATTTTTTTTTTACATTTTTCCTTACAAATCTGGATACTCAATCAAATGCTAGAATCCCAGGTAGCAATTTGCTAGTTGAACAGTTGGTATAGGAATTTTGAGCTCTAACACCATCAAATACTATCTCTACACCCAAACCAAATCATGGTAAGATTGATGCAAACAAGACCAAAATGCTATAATTTCCAAGTTCTACAATCATCAAATCCATAAACTACATTCATCAAATTTCCATTCATGAAAACCAAAACACCATCATTGCATCTATAATTATCAAATCCATAACTACATTCATCAAATTTCCATTCATGAAAACCAAAACACCATCATTGCATCTATAATCATCAAATCCATAACTACATTCATCAAATTTCCACTCATAAAAACCATCTAAAATCATTGCATCTATTCATCAAAGCCAAAATGCTACAAACGCTGACAATACATCCGTTAAGTTTCATAAAATCCATAATAACATTAGTCAAATTTTCCCGAAGTCAACCGAACAATAAGTTACATCAAAAAGTATAAAATTATAGAAAATACAATGAAATACACCATCACCTTCAAATTATTTTCCATCCTTTCAAGCCTTTGACCATAGTCATCATTTTCATTTTCCATGTCATCAAGCGTCGTCCTTAGCTCGTTAAAGTCTTCTACTGTAATACCATCACAAGCTCTAGTGTTGGAATGGATTGTGGATGTAATGTCTTCATCATCTTCATCTACGAACTTAAAGTAATTGCAATGGGCAGTGTTTCTCTACAATGCATGACAATCAGTTAATCGAATAACACAAATTAATTTGTCACTACTAAAGGATTAATATTTCCAATACATACATATTTTGATGGACAAACAAAGAAAAAACGCCATTGATTTCGATTCTCATTAGTTTTTACAATATATATGGCTGTTGTTCTTCTACAATTGCACAGTCTCAGTTTTAATCTTATGTTGGTATTGTTGATAAAAGAATAAGCCATTTTTAAATCTGCATACACAATACAAACAATCTTAAAACAATAGGTGGTGTAAGTTTTGATGTGTCTTTCACTCTATGGAAGGACATAACCTATTCTACTAGCTAAAAAAATTGTTGCAGTCATCCTCTCTTTTTTCTTCCTTCTCAAATTGTTGTAGTCAAAATTCTAAAAAATTATGTTTAGCTCTATTTTTCTCTGATTATCATTTGTTTTTATTATTGTTATCTAAAAAATCTTAAGAACCTTAGTTCTCTGTTGAGAGTAGTTGAGGATTTTAGGAGAACTAGAGAATCAGCAACACTGTCAATTACAAAAGAAAAAAGTTGTGTGGATGGGCTATGTACATCAATTGAATATCAGCTTCAAAATAGAATCAATTATAACAAGGAGATCAAAAGCTTGAAGTGAAAAAATACCTACTTTGGCAATTAGGAGTTAATCCATTTCAATGGTCAAAACAGGGCTTACGCAAACAACGATAGAAGTGATAATCATAGGGATGCTGTGGTACTGCAAGCAGGGGAAATAAACTATGAATGAAATAAAATTTGACATACAATGTAAGATGCTAACTTTCATAATTGAAAAATGAGATTTCGATAAACATGGTGCTAATGGAAGTTGTTTTTTGCTTCATTTCAGCAATGAAGTGTGGTTAAGAATGTAGTTGCCCCTCTCTAACCCTTGCATAGACATTGTATGAGTGTGAAAGAATTATAGATGGCTGTCTCTAATATTCAATTCAAATTATATAGGTTATGTTCACATACAACGTGGATTTGTCTTTGTTAATATACACTACTGAGGAAGCAATAACCTGAAATGGTCCAACAATCAAAAGGCATAAGAATACTCTGTTTTTAGGAATAAGTAAAAATAGTTCCCATTTCCAAGTCCAAACTAGTTTCAGATCTGCACTAAGTGTTAGATATTCAAGGAAGATGTCTAACCATATTTTCATGACCAATACTAACACTTTAGAGTAAAGTATCAAACTTTCCACTTCTGAAAGAAACAAAAATGCAGTAAATCAGCACTAAAATTTTTAAATTAAATTTTTTATCAATTTGTAAATCATGAATTCGATGGCCTCCATCCAACCAACAAACAAGTTAAGACAGAAGTTCATACACCAGGCTTCAGCAGTCCATACACCAGGTTCAACCAACAAAAATAAATAAATAAACAAAATAAAGTAAACAAACATCTCATCCTATCTGTAGTAGCTAGTTCAGTAAAATAAATATAAAGGAAATGATCATGCAAAGTACATAAATATGTATATATCTATCCAAATTTTGCACACAAGAGAGGAACAACAAAGAAAGAGCAACAAATGTATTTTTATTTTACTTTTGAAATTTAAGACAGAAAATTAATCAATTTGTCTCACTAATTAAATAGGTTTATGGATACTGATTCATCAAAAACACACCCACTCTCAAAGTCCTAATTTTTTCCTGTTGGAATCCCAAATCAAATTCCTAATTTTGAAATTTCAAATCTATTTTCTCAATCTCAATGAAAGAAATAAGAGAATGTTAAGACAGAAAATTAATCAATTTGTCTCACTAATTAAATAGGTTTATGGATACTGATTCATCAAAAACACACCCACTCTCAAAGTCCTAATTTTTTCCTGTTGGAATCCCAAATCAAATTCCTAATTTTGAAATTTCAAATCTATTTTCTCAATCTCAATCACACAACCCTAACTTCTTAATTTCAGCGTTTCGAAGACAAACCTAGTTCATCTATGGCCTGAGAACCCATGTTCTCATCAAGAAATTTCTTCGCTCAGCTGATGGTGGTCGCGGTGGAGCCATGGTTCACGAAGTAGAGAATATTAGGGCTGGAGTGGGTCACCGTTTGGGTCGCCGGTGAGGGTGGGTTCAGTGGAGGAGGACGGGTGAGTGTAAGGCTGAGTGAAAGTGAGAGTGAGAGTGAGGGTGAAGTGAATGTATAATTGCAGCAACGGGCAAGAATTTTCTGAAATTTCAATTTCCTTTTTTTTTTTTTGTTTTTTTATGGCCGTTGGATGTGAAACAGCAGATCTCAACCATTGCAAGTAGGAAATGAAGTAGGATGCTCAAGGAAGGGATCCGAACTCATTGGAAAATGTCACCATCGGATCTTTACCTATCACATCACACTATCTGCAGGTCCTCATTCGTCTGCTCGATACCATGTTGTTGGATATAGTTGCGATACACCTTAGACGATCCTTTCTACCTTAACATTACACAAAATACGCCCGTAGGACACAATACCCTCCGGGCCCACTCCACCACTAGCCTCAAACCGAAATCGTACGATCCGCAAACAGTGGTTGTAGTGCACACGTCATACCGCCGTAGTTTAACGAAATTCTTCGAGGATTTCTAACTTGCACAACTAATGTCCCTCAAAATCAAAAGTTATGCATACAATTCCCCCAAGTTAGGCTAGGACTCAAATGATTTATTAAATTTTTTATCAAAACTCTTACTTGAATGTGACGCCCACACATATGGGTTTGTGTGATATCACATTATATGAAAGTTTTGATAAAAATTTTAGTAGATTATTTGAGATTTATAGCATGTTTCATGCCCCTCTCTCCCTTTGGTGCTTTTCTTTTCCATAAGTGATTGAGACCCCTTCTCCCCCTTTCCTTTCCCCCCCCCCCACACACACACGTGGGGATTAGTGATTAGAGAAGGAGGAAAAAAAAAAAAAACTGGCCAATCACAGTCCAACGGGTCGTGGGGGTGACCCCTGTCCGGGTCCGGATCATTTTTTTTTTTGGAGGGCAACCCAAGAGAGTTCGTTGGAGTTTCAGGTTCTACTGTTCATTCTTTTCCCTCAATTCAATCTTGCAACTATTTTCTTGATTTCCAAAGTTTAATGTAGTTTGAATCACACCAAAAACCATTCAACAATTCATCACAATCTTCAACCTAGGGTTTGAATAACTACATATTACCCTACCCTTTGTTGGTTACTTCAAGTCACATTGTTATGCTTGGTTTAATTCTATGATTGTGTTATGTTTCTGAATCTTGGTTGTAATGAGGGATGTGAAAATACCCAATTGGCTCAAAGGGTTGCCATTGGCACCCGAATTTCGCCCAACTGACACTGAATTTGCAGACCCAATTTCACATTTCAAGAATTGAGAAAGAAGCTAGTGCTTTTGGTATATGTAAGGTTATTCCACCATTGCCCAAACCTTCAAAAAAATATGTGATTTCTAACTTGAACAAGTCATTCTTAAAGTGCCCGGAGTTGGGTCCGAATACAAACTTGGCAGAGGTTTGTTCTTCATCGAAAACAGATTCTGGGAATGAGGCAAATGACAGGGAGGCCAGGGCAGTATTTACCACAAGGCATCAAGAATTGGGTCAGAATGCAAGGACAATCAAGAAAGTTGTTCGTAAGCAAGTATGGCAAAGCGGCCAAATTTATACGCCGGAGCAGTTTGAATCTAAGTCGAAGACTTTTGCTCGGAGCCAATTTGGTATGGTGAAGGACCTTTCTCCGTTAGACATAGAAGCACTGTTTTGGAAGGCAGTTTCTGAGAAGCCCATAAATATAGTGTCACGCTCCAAGCTCTGTGACAACGCCGCACACTCATATAAGTGAGCATGCAAGGCTAAGAATCCAATCACATAACCCACAAAATAAAATACTCAAATTAAATCCTTAATTGTCATAATGCCAGAATCCATAAAAATAAATAGTTCTCATATGAAAATGTCCACCAAATCACTAATTTAATCCACTAACAAAACAATAATCCAAGTACTTAAATCATGGTCCTACTCTCGGCACTCCCACATGTAAAAAAAAAGATCCCGCGCAGCTCTACTCTTCTGAATCTGAAAAAAAAATAAGGGTAAGCTAGATAGCCTAGTAAATAACCAACCATCACTGCTAGCTGGATCAAGTATATAAAAATAAGTAAATAAATCGATATCCAATAAATATAATTTTTTTTCTACAGTTCAATAAATGAACAATTATTTGTAAGGTGGTTTCACAGCTAAAAATAAACAATGTACAATACATTTTAAATGAAAAGCCAACAAGATAATTCAAAGTAATTCGTTGTTCAAATCGATGGTTCGATATTCAGATGGTTCAATGATTTTATTCACAAAACCCATGTCTTAATGACTACGGTCACTTAGCCCGTGACAAGGCCCAGAATCACACATAGGCCGGTGGTAAAGCCCCAAAAGAAACTAGTTTCTGTGCCAATAAATAACCCCCATTGGCTAGGGTCCAAATTTTAAAAATAAAAAATTTGTACCCCAATTCTCAAAACCTAAGTAGGCACCTATAGATCTTCCAAATCTCCTTAATGCATTGATTGTTAAATTCCTCAACATAAACTTAATAATTAACAGTAAAGACAGATTTTACCTTAACCAATGGGTGTCCCAAAAATCACCAACGTGTTGCCTTCAATCCCTATTGTAGCCTCACTTGAACCTCTCTTCTCTTTTTTTTTTCTTTTTTTCTTTTACCTTCTCAAACCCTAGCCGCCTATGGAGCAATTCATAGCCTCTGTTTTGTTTGTTTTCCAAGACTTAAAGCCACAATAGGTGGGCTTATTAACCTAATTTCTCAAAGTTACAAAATTACCCATCTAAGTAATAGGAAATATAATGCCATCTCATAACTAATTCTTTGATATTAATAAATGACTCATATAAGTTAATTTAATTACTAATCTATCCAATAAAATAATAATATTTAAAACTTGGGTTTTACATATAGAGTACGCAAATGATGTACCTGGATCTGGGTTTGGAGAACCAGAGGGATCATTTCAGTATTTTTATAGACAAACGAGGAGGAGAAAGAGGACATACAATCGAAACAGTGGAGGAAGTTGTGATAGCAAGAAATATCAAGTAAATAACACGAGCAATGGCGGTGAAAATAGAGGGGTATCAACCAAGAATAGTTCTAATTCTTTTAGAGAGACATCCAGGGTGTCTATTAGTTTACCAACCATTTTGTCAAATCAAACATCAGGATGTTCTAGGCAAAAGAGTTCAAATGCTGCTAATGAGATGGAAGGTACTGCTGGTTGGAAGCTTTCAAACAGTCCTTGGAACTTACAAGTAATCGCACGCTCACCTGGCTCACTTACGCGTTTCATGCCAGATGATATTCCGGGTGTTACTTCACCCATGGCCTATATTGGTATGTTATTCAGTTGGTTTGCTTGGCATGTTGAAGATCATGAGCTTCACAGCTTGAAATTTCCTTCACACTGGCTCTCCAAAGACTTGGTACGCAGTCCCAGGAGACTATGCATTTTCTTTTGAAGAAGTGATTCGTAACCAGGCTTATGGAGGAAATATTGATCACTTAGGTATGTAAAATTGCTCATTGTTTGATATTGGATCAGCTTTATGAGTTCCAAGTATGGTTTATGGTACTAATAAATCTTCTGTTATTTGCTTCTTGAGTGTGTTCCTTGGTACCGAATGAAAGGACTTAAAAGCTGAAGTCTTTTGTTATTATTATTAATTGCATAGATATGCAAAGAACTGCTGTTAGGATAGCTGCATATCAACAAAGTCACTTGTGTCATACATAGCATGATAAGACATTGGTTTGACCTAATGTGATTAGAAGAACGTGTGGCCACCTGGGTGGATTTTGTTAGCTGTTTGGGATAATCTACTGCAGAAGCCCCTTTTCTTTTGTTTTCAAGAGTTTTGACGCCTTCCAAACACCTTTTGCTTATATTTTTGACCTCCTTTTCTTGATATTATGATCACTTTGAGCTCACATGTTTATTTGGTATCAAAGCATTTTTCTACCCATTCTGCAATCAATGGAATTTTTTTTTTTTTTTTCCATGTATGACAGTTGACACATGAATTGCATTTGCTTTCATTTCCCAAATACAGTCTTCTCTTTGTTGTATCTGCAACCATACAGAAGCAATGGCAAACATTTGGGAGCCTATTACATTGCGTGAGCCTGATAAGAACTGATGATAGTGAAAAGGTAACCAGAATATGGGGTTGCCTAGTAGGCTTATGGCATTCTGGGTTCCCACTTTTGTCTTGAGATGGTTGATAATTTTGTATGAATTTGCATTTTCTTGTTATGGAAATTGTTGTCACTCTTATAATTTACTATTCTCACATCAGTTGGCGAGGTTGTTTGATGTATGACTGTTTCTCAATTTCACCATTCCATTCCATCCTTGTTTTTATAGAATACGGCTTCCATCGATGTGAATTTTGTAGGACACTATTACCTTCACATTTTGTAACCCAAGTCTAGTTTTTTCCCCTCTAATTTTCAGCTTCTCTTACACTCTTGGGTGAGAAGACTACTCTTTTATCACCTGAAGTTGTTGTTAAGTCAGGCATTCCATGTTGCAGGTGGGTTGCTTGTAGCTTCATCTTTGGTTCTTCCTATTCTTGTCGTCACCTTCAGCTCATGGATAGGATTATGATTCCGTAATTAATACTATTTTAGGTAGACTTGTGGAGCATGGGTTGTGATGTGGTTTTTCCTGCTTATTGGTTTATGAAAATTCTAATAATATCTATTCTGGTCTGATTTCTTCAGATTGATTCAGAACCCTGGTGAATTTGTTGCAACTTTTCCAAGGGCTTACCATGTAGGATTCAGCCATGGTAATTTCTTTTCCGCCCTCCCCCACAATTAAGGATATTTTTAAGCTTAGTGATTAATAGAGATGCTTATTTATGCTTCCAAAATATTTGTTTTTGGGTAACTTCTGGTGGTTTGTTTGTTTTTTTTGTTGGATAAATTTTGTGGTTTGTTCATCTTAGCTAAGTGAATACAAAGAAACTTTTGTTACTTTTGGATTCTTATTCCATTCATTATTGCAATTAGGTTTTAATTGTGGGGAAGCTGCAAACTTTGGAACTTCTAAGTGGCTTAAAGTTGCTAAGGAAGCTGCGGTGCGTAGAGCTGCTATGAATTATCTTCCCATGCTTTCCCATCAGCAACTGCTATACCTGTTGACCATGTCTTTTGTTTCAAGGTCAGTTTACGATCGTTCTTCAGATTCTCTTTGGAACCTTAGTTATTGAGTATATTATTTCTTGAAGTACCAATACTTAGGTGTTGCTCCAGTACTTTGCTTAATGAAACTTTTTAACTTAATATAGTTTTGATTATTGTGAGAGTGATTGGAATCAAAGTTTAATTGTTCTGTGACAGAACAAGAATAGAATTTGTCTGAGAGCTTTAAAGTGCTGCCTAAGGTCAAAGCTTTGGTCTGTGTGATTGTCAATGGAAATGTCAAATGTAAAACTTATGACATGCTTCAAAACAGGAGACCCAACAGAGATTTATTTTCCAGTGTCTACCAAATTACGTGGGACAAGCTTAGGAACATTTGTGCTCTTTTGCAAGCTTCAGTGTCTTTCAATTTTTGGCAGATTATGATTGGACTATAGCCAGAAATTTCTTCTTCATTCAAGTGCAGGTATTGGACTTTCTTGTTTTGGAAATGAGAATAGATGGGATTTGGCAATGTAATACCTCAGCAAATGTTTGGAGCATTTGGATGAAATAATGGGTGGGATTTTTGAGAAACAAGAGTGATGAGAAAAAATCTGAGGAAAACTTAGCTTTCTGTGGAAAATATTTCTTAATATTTTCTTTGAATGAACTAGAAAAAATGGAAGAACATAGAAAAAAATTTCCATCTTCCTTATTACAACATCATGAGAAGTCTCTACTCATTTGTTTTAGATCCCCTTGTATCATTAGAGATCTGAAAACAGTTTCAGGGAGTTTGGCTTTGGTTACGTAAGAGTTATTTGATGTCTTATTTGTTAAGTAGTCTTATTTTCATAGATTTTAAAGTCCACTGCTCAGTCGGAAACTTCAGGGAGTAATTAGTATTGCTGAATTGCAGTATCATAGTTTATCCTGCATTTGTCAGAAATATTTTAACTTGTTCAGTTCCTATCTATTATGTGCATAGATTGTCTTTCTTTCTTTGTTGTTAATAGGGATGTCAAAGGACCCTCCTAATGTCTGAAGTTTGATATGCTTCAAATTGTTTGGATGACAGAGTGCCAAGATCCTTAATGCCAGGGGCACGAAAATCTCGTCTGAGAGATTGCCAGAAGGAAGAGAGAGAGCTGTCAGTTAAGAAGGCTTTCTTAGAAGATATATTAAGCGAAAACAATCTGTTAACCATTCTTCTTGGAAAAAATTCCTCGTGTCATGCAGTACTATGGGACCTGGAATCACTACCATCTCCAAGTAAAGAGTCTGAAAGGTGCATTGCAACTGTTGTGACCACTCCAAGAGAAGATGTCTGTTCTGAGAATAAGAATATAGAAACCATGGATGATTTGTATTTCAATGATGCTGATTTCTCATGTGATTTTGAAGTTGATTCCAGGACATTAGCATGTGTGGCTTGTGGGATTCTTGGCTTTCCATTTATGTGTGTGGTACAACCTTCTGAGAGAGTATCAATGAGCCTTCTGCAAGATGTAGGAGTGTCAAAACCTCTGAGGTGTCACTCCCATCCAGTCCTCCATGACATGATTGAGGGTTTTATTTCAGGTATAAGGTCACTGTAATTTTATATTCTTCTTGAATCTTGATCGCTTTGTCTCTTTTGCTTGTTTTGTCCTCAGCTATTCTGGCTAATTAACTTAACAGTAACTTTGATTTCACCGCGGAGAGGGGATATAAGAAGAATCATAGGTTTTTCCTTATATCTCTGACATTCCCTGGCAAATACCTTGACACTTGAGATGCTTGAAGTTCAATCCTTTTATAGGATGTTCTCTGAAAGTGTTGCCAAAAATCTTAGTTGGCGAAACAAGTAACAAGGAAAATGTACTTTGATACATGGCTGCTGTTATAGAGCTGCCTATCTTATTTTAAAGCCAATCTTCTTGATTTTTTGTCAAAAAATTAAAAAATAAAAAAAAAATCTTCCCTAGGTCTCTGCTGCTGTCATCTATGGAGGTATTGTCATTCTACTATTCAGGATACTTTAAATCGTGTGAAGCATTTCTAGCTCGTATTTTGTATTCTCCTTTCTTTTTTTTTTCCCCCAGTTTTTCTTGATTTATCTATTTTTCTTTTTTCCTTTTTCTAGTGAACTCCCGATCCAAATCTCCATTTAGCTTAAAGGTCACCAGCTAAAGTTTCCATCCTAATGTACTAAAATAACATGTTGCAGAACAGTTTATTTCAATTTTGAACAAAATCAGAAGGTATCAAATTGTTTTTGTTTTGCAGATGGAATGAAGGACAAGATTGAGCAGAATGAGAGCAATGTGCTTCACCATCAAAATGGAGCATTTTCAAGTGCCAAATCTATCAAATCTACGCTCCTCAGAGGATCTATCAAGTGTGCCTGATCTTTTTCCACCTCCAGGGGATCTTCCAGTTTCTTTAGAAGTTAAGTTTGACAAGGGGTGGAGTGCTACTAGAGGATTTTTAAGACCACGGATAATCTGCCTGGAACATGCAATTCAGATTGAGGAGATGTTGCGTTCCAAAGGTGGAGCAAATTTCTTCGTAATTTGTCATTCAGGTAAGGATAGGATAGTGCATAATGTTGTTTGCGCAAAAGCATGGTTGTTAAACAACCCCATGTTAACATACAGAGCTAAATTAGGTCCCTTTTTGGCTTTTTTCCCTTTTCTTGTTTTGAAAGGTGCAATATGCAGAGCTAAATTATGAAACATGATATTTTTTAATTTTTTTTTTTTTTTTTTGGTATCGGCTATGAAAATGAAATTAGTCAAGTCATGAATTTACTTTCACTTGTTAAAAAAATTGTGAATTTACTCACTTCATAACACCTTCCTTTTTAAATTTTGACAGCCAGCCTTTTTTTTTATTTAAATATCTACATTTTTTTGATTTATTTAAAATTTTATTGGAGAAAAAAAGTGGTGTGGATCAAGCATCACTAATACAAAAAGAAAAACAAAACAAAACCAATAAGAGTTTATACTTTATTTGTCGCATAAACTATTAGGAGTACATTATTTTGAAAAATTAATATTATATTGTTTGTTTGTTTTGTTAATGCAAGTTTGTTCTCCTTTTGGTTAATTTTTTGCATTGATTTCCTGATTTTGATTTGTGTAGCTTTCAAAAAATGAAGGCACATGCTGCAGTGATTGCCGAGGAAATTGGTAGCCCTTTCGGGTACAATGAAATTCCACTGGATAATGCATCCCAGGAAGGTTTGAATTTGATTGATCTTGCAATTGATGATGAAGAACACGATGAATGTAGAGAAGACTGGACCTCGAAACTAAGCATCAACTTACGGCACTGTGTCAAGGTCAGAAAAAATTCTCCGTCCGAACAAGTGCATCATGCATTAGCATTGGGTGGATTGTTCTCTGACAGGTGTCCAAGTTCCAACACCTTCAATCTTAAGTGGCCATCAAGAAAATCTTGGTCAAAACAAAACTCATATCACTCAGTCCATATGAAACCATCTGAGAGCATTCAAATGGAAAAGGATGAAGTGTGGGGAGAAGAGTCAGATGGTATCATGGTTAGAAGAGAAGGAGAACTTATTCAATATTCAAGAAGATTCAAGTCGAAGCCCGGTGATTATGCAACAGCAAGTAAGATCTTTGAACACCCTGCGAAGCACATGCACAATGAAGTTTCAGTTACTAATTCTGGAGGTCCAGATGAAAGCAGTAAGAATAATAAGAAAAACTATGCTGAAAAATCTGCTGGTTCACTCTCATTGCTGTTGAAAGTACTGAAAATTTTGACATACAGAGAGAGAATCAAATTACAGAGGAAATCAGCATGAAATATGTGGCTTGTGCAGATGCTTCTGAAGGGCAATGCAATATCCAGTCCGATGGAGATGTCTTGATGAAAGAGGCCCCTGATCTTGTTAATACCATGAACACTGATGAAGTGCTGAGCAGTCTTGAGAATTGTTCTTCACATGACAAGATAGAGCTGGAAAACACGGGCTTCACCATGGTGTGCCCAAGATCAACTGCACAAAATGGAAGGAAAAGAAGAATAGATGTGGAGCTGCAAACAGAAGATCAACTCGATTTCAATTGCTTCATTAAGAGTCCATGTGAAAGGCTGAGGCCAAGGGCTGCGAAAGACGCAAAAATCAGTGGAATCGACAGTAACAGTATGTTCGAGGATAAACCAGCAGTAAAATCTGTGAGGAAATCTTCAAACGATTTTCTTTCTCGCAAGAACAAAAAAAAGAACGAGAACGTAAAGGGATCTCATAGGTGTGATTTAGAAGGCTGCCTAATGAAATTTCAGACGAAGGCGGATCTACTCTTGCATAAACGCAACCAGTGTCCACACAAAGGGTGTGGAAAGAAGTTCAGCTCTCACAAATATGCAGTGATACATCAACGCGTTCATGATGACGATAGGCCTCTCAAATGCCTGTGGAAGGGTTGCACCATGACATTCAAGTGGGCATGGGCTAGGACCGAGCATTTACGAGTGCACACTGGGGAGCGGCCATACCAGTGCAAGGTTGAAGGTTGCGGCCTTACTTTCAGGTTTGTATCTGATTTTAGCAGACACAGATGGAAAACCGGACATTACGTGAATGTACCAACCTAACATTGTTGTTCTGTTCAGGTTAGATCTGTAACTATATGGGAATTCTGGGCCAAAACATGTCTCAGAAGCCATGTGTAAAAGTAGTAATTGATGATTTTGAGTACAGGTTAGGGTTAGTTGTTAGACAGAAACTCCAATTTTTCTGTATTGTCACTTGTAGATTAAAGCCCTTGTGGGTTTTGGGGGATTTTTTAAATTTCATTTTTTACATGGTTAGGGTTCAGAAACTTGGGTTTTTGTACTGGATTGTTTGGCCACACTGTTTGTCTATTGGGTGATTTGACTCAATGGATATGTGAGAAATGGGTTTTTATAGAAATGGGTGGTCTCTTCTATGATTCAACTTTGTGTTTCTGTAGATTGAACTTTCTATGAAGATAGGTAAAGTTTGAAAGTTCGAAGAGAGTATCAGCATTCAACCTTCAAATGCTGATAATACTCTTTCCACTTTGCTTGAAGAAGTGCAATGAAATACTCTTTCCACTACCAGCTCCAACTACCACCCACCACTAGCTCCAACCAACCCTTTCCCAACCCCTTGTGCCACCTCATAGCCCCTTCTCACCCTTTGATGCCACTCTCTCAAGCTAGGAAGGGACTGGAGGTGGCGATTGGGACTATGGAAGGCTGGATGGTTGTAGCAGGAGCTGTGAATGGGCTAGGGAGGGTGGCCACTGGCCAAAGCCAGTGGCAGTGGCCGTCACGGGGGCGTGGGGGTAAGGTTAAGATTTGGTTAGGGATGGCAAAATGCCCCGATCCATCGGGTCCCCGACTCCCTTTGACCCTAATACGATGGGTTTGGGGGTGGTTGAATAGGGCAGAATCGGATTTGAAAAAACTTTTAAAAACCCGATTGGGTTCGGGTTGGGGACGGGTTACCCGAATCCTACCCTACCCGCAAATATAATAATAAATAAATAATAATATTATGTGTATAATATATTATTGAAATTTTATAGAATATATAATATCTATTGAGATTTTATTATATTATATAATATAATTTTTATATATTTTAAATTACAAATAGCATTTTTTAGTTTTAATTATTAAATTTTAATATTATTATTAAATTTTTTATTGTGTTGCGGATCAAGTAGAGTCAGGGGCGGGAGTTATCTTTGTGGGTTTGGATATGGGTGGGGATGGGGGTGGGGTAGAGGGTCCTGACCTATACTCTATCCGTTGTCATCCCTAGATTTGGTGACTTTCTAAGGATAGGGTTACGATTTTAAAGGTAAAATGGGGCAAAAATTGAAATTTTATGATTAGAGAGGGTCCAAAAAGAACAAATTGAGGTGCTACATTCACTTGTATTTTATTAATTACAATTATTTTTTCTCATTTACATGCACTCACTTATATTCCATTAATTTATATTTTTTTCCCCCTCATTTCTTATTCCAGCATTGACCAAAAATTGAAATTTTATGATTAGAGAGGGTCCAAAAAGAACAAATTGAGGTGCTACATTCACTTGTATTTTATTAATTACAATTATTTTTTCTCATTTACATGCACTCACTTATATTCCATTAATTTATAATTTTTTTCCCCTCATTTCTTATTCCAGCATCGACTACAACAGTAAAAATATACCGTCCATAAAACATTAAAATAAGTTGAAGAGTTCTAGTAAAATTTGATTTCCTTCTCTCATGCACAAAATAAAAAGAGATAGGCTACTCTCCAGTTCAGTGGACTTTGTAAAATTTATTATGAGTTTTATTTCGATGATTTGAACTGTTCAATGTATAAAATTTATCGAATAATTTATTTATGTAAAAAATTACATTAATCAAATATTAATAGTCTCTTGTTTAGAACATATTTTTGTCAATGGTAAATAAGATTTTAAAAATAAATTGGTAACAAAAATATGTTCTAATCAAGGGATTATCGATATCTCATCAACATAATTTTTTAAAATGATAGAATATTTGATTCTTGGGACACTACTAGCGATCCATTTATCTGATAAAACTAACAGTGTTATACTCCACTTGTGACTCTACCCCTTCTGTGGGAAACGAGTGCATTCCCCACTTACCCCGATGATGAGTTTTTTTTCTTTTGGATTGAGTTAAATCTGTCCGTCAACTGATTATCCTAAAATTAGGACTTACAAATGTCCCCTTTTTTTGTCCAAAAAAAAAAAAAAAGAAAGAAAGAAAAAGAAAGTTATAATATTTTAAAATATTTTTCTTTTTGAAAATTTGATTACTGCACATATATATTTTCAAAATGTATAAATTGTCCATCAAAATATAAAGTGTCCTTCCACAATATGCACCCTTTTTGGGTGTATATCTAATAATTTGTAATGTTAATACTATAAATGTCATCATTAAATTATTTTTAATTATAAATAAAATAAATATAATGAGTTATGACCAAACATCAATACAATCAAAGACCTCTTTCATGATAATTAAAATAATAACATAATAAATTATAACTAATATCATAATAAATCATAATCAAATCAAAATTAACACAAAAAAAAAAGTTATAAATAAAATAATAACTACAATAAATCATAACCAACACAAAAACAAATCATAAACAAATATTTACAATTAGTCATGACCAACACAACCCCAAAGAGTTGGTCTAGTTAGTCCAGCTTGAATCTGAGATGTATTCCTTTTAGATCTCAGTTTTAATTTTCATTAGATGTTATCAACTCTTTAAAGTCATATCCACAATCTCTGCTAGAGATTTGTTCAATTAACATTAAGAAAACTTATTCGATTAACGATAAAGAAACACGTCGAGTGAGTCCCGAAAGAGAACTAACCCGATAAATCATAATCAAATAATCACAAAAATCGTAACAGGATATATAATATAAATTTTTTATTTGAAATGCATGTCATAAAATCTTGTGGAAAAAAAAAACACACACTTATATATATATATATATTATTTCTCCAACCACAAACTACAATTCTCTTCTCTCACGTAGATAAGGAACACTTTTTTTGTTTCACCTACTTGATCAAAGGTACCATAATTTCCCATATTCTACTTAAATTTGGAAAAAAAAAAAAGAAAGGAAAACCAAAAACAAAAACAAAAACAGATCACAGTGTGTTATTATATTATTCAAAAATGCTAGACGCCCCAAAAATTTTACCAAAAATTTTATGAAATGTCTCACATGGATGGGTGTGAGCCCACATAGGATCCACGTTATGCGGATCTCAGACATTTGATAAAACTTTTAGTAGAATATTTGAGATCTCTAACATTCCTCTATATTATTAGGCAGCATTAGCATAATAAGCCTGAAGAGCATGACCAGACAACCTACAAATCTTCCAATCCTTCATAATCTGAGCCCCCATTTCTTCATAAAACTTGATGGCCTTCACATTCCAATCAAGCACAACCCACTCCACCCTCCCATACCCCATCTTCGCCGCCTGCGCCGCCACCGCCGCCACCAACATCTTCCCGAACCCTTTGCTCCTATAACACTCCCTCACGAACAGGTCTTCGATATAGAACCCTGGTTTGGCCAGGAATGTTGAGTAGTTTGGGAAAAAGAGCACAAACCCAGCAACGATGGAGTCAGTTTCGGAAGATTTGAAGAGATGGGATTCTGGGTCGGAGATGGGGAGGTCGAAATTGAAGGATTTGGAGATGGGGGGGAAGATAGAGGAGGTGGGGTGGGGGGATAGCATGTGCTGCCTAAATAGCCATGAGACACGCCATACACACTGCATGGGCCTCGGCTTGTACTGCAGATGAAGCCTTGATAGACTTAGCACAACCATCTAGTAGATTTCCCTTTGAGTCTCTAAGAATCACAGCCATTACAGCTGATGAAGAATGTTCGCAAAAAGCTGCATCACAGTTAAATTTGACTCTACTGTGGGAAGCTGGCTGCCAACCTAATCGGGGATTATGGTTGGGGACGGCTAAGGCCTGATGGAAAGGGTTGAATTGGCCAATCAGATCATCTTGTTCCTTCCGGAAATGAGTGATCTTTTGCAAAGTGGCATGAGGGTCCACCACTTGATGATTAAAGACAATCATTTCTAGATTTCCATATGAACCTGGCAACAATAGCAACTAAACTAATAAGGCGTTTGGATTCATTTTTTGAATTACCGCCTTGCAAATGATCGTTGGTCCACTTGGTCACATTTGTTATCGAGCCTTGATCCACTCTCATATTTAAAGAGCTGCCAAACCAAACAGCCTTGGTCCAGGGACAATCAAACAGAAGATGCTCCATGGATTCATCACATTTTCTCCAAATAGGACATTCACTAGAAGATGCACACTTACGCCTAAACAAACCCAGCTTTGTGGCCAACAAATTATTTCAGACTCGCTACCAAAAGTGTCGGATTTTGAGTGGAACATCAAGATCCCAAGTCCGCCGTCCTCGTCGGATCCGCCGATCGTGCCGTCGCCTCCGACCGCCGTCGCCTCCGACCGCCGTCGCCCCACCTCCGCCTCCTCCTCTCCCAAATATTATGCCCCCTCCAGTCCTCTTCCTCCTCCTCCTCCCTTCCTACTTCCTCCTCCTCCTCCTTTCTTCCTTCTTCTTCCTGGTCTTCGTTCTTCTTCTGCAAAAAAAAAATAAAAAATTGAGCCATTCGGACTCCTCGTTTTCGAGTTACGTAGCGCGATCGTTTCAATGATGGGGGATGATTGATTGATAATTTAATTATTAATCAATTATTTTCTTAGCACGATACTAAATTTAAAAAATGAGTTTAATTTTTAAATTTGAATAGTAATATTCAATTTTATTTTATTTTTGATAATTGAGTGTCTACAGCAGGTCGTGTGCACACCTCAATTAATCTTAAAACTTTAAAACTAACAATCGGACAAATCTCTAGTGACTCTTTAAAGTAACTCGAACTCAATTTATTAAAATAAAAATTATTACTAATGACAATGTTAAGAATTGTGAATAAAAACTACATAAAATTTAAATATTTATACTTCTAATATATATTTTACATTTTATTAAAATATTTTTTTATACATTTTAATATATCTTCTAAAATTAAAGATTATTTTTAATATTTTTCTTAAAATAATAGAATCCATTACTTTTATATTGTGTTTTGGCAAATAGTGCTTGGTTTGGGAAGGTTGGCTTTTTGACTTTTTTGGCTATTTTAACCTAGGTTAAAAAGCTTGGTTTGGGAATGACTTTTTGAATTTTTTTGTGAGAGAAGCGTGTAATGATTATGAGTTAGATGTGATATTTTGTTTGTTGTGGTTAAAATAGTCTATTTTGTCTTTTATGATTATTTTAGCCACAAATCATCTTCCCAAACGGACTCGTAATAAGATAAATGGTGTAAATATTATTTCAAAACCATCAAATAATTACTCGACATATATAGTGATTACTCCATATGCATCTTAGATCATCTTTAATGGTTCATTAAATATTTTATCAAATTTAAATTTGATAAAAAAAAACTCATTTTTTGCTGCTCGAACCTAGCACCAAATCTTTCATTAAATCTAAAATTTCTCAAATCTTTCATCGGATTGAAGATGGATGTGTCTTTCATCAAATCATTGTTCATAACCGTTAGATTTTCACCACCGAATGTCCACCTTAAGGGAAAAATTTGTAAAAATTTTACACTAACTGATCGATCGGCTGGACATCTACTTAGTCGTTCGTCCGATCAACTGGTGTTCTAATAAAACTTTAAAAACTTTCGTTGGAGTACTTGATATCAAATGAAATTTTTAACTCAAATTTAATATTAAAAATATATATATATACCGTTGAAGATGCTCTTGGAGAGATCTTTTCACTACAACTAGAGACATGTTTTGTGCAACTTTTTACCATATTAAAAGTTGATAATAAGTTAAAAGCATATTTTCTTTAATTTTTTGAATTTATTTAAATTATTTATATCTTATAAATTATAAACAGAAATTATAAATACTTTACATAAGATGAAAAAACCAAGCAACTCCAACATGCTAATGAGACAGGACTATAAATGGGTAATTTTTCAACATAGAAGTTGAGATCACTACAATAAAAAAGGTTTTTACGGCGCGCAATGCACGTTGTAAAAACCCTTCTACGACGTGCAAAAGCGCGTCATATTATGATCAATCATGAAAAGTCATTCACTTTCAACGACATACTTTGTACGCTGTTAAAAACTATTTAACGGCATATTTGTACGCCGTTGTTATTTTTCTACGACACCGCTATAGTACGCCGTTAAAAACTATTTAATAACAGATTTTGTGCATCGTTGTTACTTTTTCTACTACTTATGTACGCCGTTAGTTGGTGAGACAAATAACGACGCTGATTGCGTACCGTAAAATATGTAATATAACGACTTATTATGTCTGCCGTAGAATATGTAATTTTTATTATTATTATCTTTTTTAAATTCAACAGGTTCTATTTGACCAATTTTATACAATCTAACAAATATTACAAGCAAGCATCACAAAACATCAATCAACCACCAAAATATTGTTTGAAACATCACAAAAAAACTATATCCATAAATTATAAACATTCAACAATTGTCTATACATTTGAAAACTATATCCTTAAGTTCTAAACTGTACAAAAAGTTTAAACCATTTAAAATTATGCATATCTAACTTTCTAAACATATCGATAACTATTAAGAGATTATCTAAAACTACCGACAACAATTTCTATAGCTGTTGCAGATGCAGCTGTAACAAATCCACTTGCTTCTATCACAGGGACGAGGTTGCAAGCTATTTTTCCAAATCAGTAATATCTGGCCTGCAAATAAACTTCGATTAAGGGAACAGATGGTTATATATCTAGTGATAAACAACATTTAAAAGTTATGATATGTTTTGCATGTAAAAAAAAATTCTATTAACAACACCAACAAAATTCTGCACAACCATACTCCTTTTGAGAAAGCAGAGGGAAAAGAAACTGAGCTACCCATCACCAATCTCCAAAAGCAATGAACTATATACTATGGTCAGAACTCCTCTATCCTTGTCCATCCCATGGAAATTTCAATAACATAGACTCAATATTCAATTTCACTAGAAGATGCAATATTAAGCATTTTGACAAAACTCACCTCACAACTCGGACGAGATAACCTTTTCGGCAATTGACCTGTAATGCCTCATTCATTTTATCAAACTTCTGATCAAATGACTATGTCTTGTTCATCCTTTTGTTTCCACTGAGGTCTCTTCCACCACTGTCCACAAATATATATGTATTGATAGATAGAGTTTAGATAGATAAAGAAATAGAAAATAGATCAACCTCAATGCATGCATGAAAAGAACAACAGAGATAGAAAGTATTTATAGTAGCACAGGAATGATGTTTATGCCCAGCCATACAAAATTGGATTGTTCATCAATGAATTGCCTGACTTAGTCCTACCATTTAGATAAATCTTACTCTGCAAAATTTTTGCAAGATAAGCGTCAATGTAAAGACCAAATCAAGTGACAATGCACCACTAATGACAAATATGCATGACTTAACAACAACAACTTGTAAGAAAAAATGTTCAAGAAGGAGCAACTTTGACACCAAAACCCAATATATAGGGATGCCAGTGAAAATGTACACATTGCCTATAATGGTCATTACTCAAACAATAACATATCTAATGCACCCATGAGCATACCTTCCTGTGTATGGGAACCATTCACTGTGATCCTCATCATCTTCATAGCCTCCAGAGAGTGCTACAGACTGAGCCCCATAATCTGCTTGCCCAGGAATCCCTGCAACATGGGGAAGGTGAGCTCCCCATTGTCTGCATTCCATTCGATCCTGCTAAGTTTCACCCACCAACACACCCTGATTTCTGTCTGGGTCATTCTCTACTAGAATTGGTCCAAAAGGATCAGGTGGGACTGTGACAAAAAAACAAAAAATAAAAATAAAAAAACCAAATACATATGAATGAGAACTGTGTTCAACTACATATTCCTATTTAGACAAGTACTTTTTCTTCCAAGATGAGTACTTTTTTGCAATTACTGTAGGGAACCAATGTAGAAGGGCATTATAACTTGGTCCTGCCATGGGTAGTCATTGAATGAAGCCAGATCACATCAACCATTATACCCAAAAAAATCAGCTTCAAGCAATTTCTTTCAGATTGCAATGTAGAATTATAATACATCTTTTTCCAATTAAATGGTGGAATTATATCAAGCTCCAAAAATAGCAAGATGAACAACCTAAACCAATACTGAAGAGGGTGTTATTGCTTGTGTAGACGTTACATTTTTATCATCAAGACGAATCATCTAAATATTCAGATGAAAAAATCTTCCAAATATTCATAAATTTGATGCATATTAACTATTTTATATCTATCATTTACAAATGACAAACCAAGTGTGCAATAAAAATTGGGCACTCTCAACAAGCCTTAGTCCCAAATACCAATTATAAGGGTCTATTTCTCTACTTGTCTACAAATCAAGCATAATTATCAAATTTAAAAAGATAAGCAAAAAGTGTGGGAAAGAGGGGGCATGATCAAAGCTCATGCTTAAATTGAGGACATTGATTTAACAGGCCAAATTGGCAGAGGCTGAGTTTTCTGTAATATTGATTACAAAAATTTCCATTAGTATATGAATATGGTGAATGAGAGTAGTTTATTCATGTTCTCTACACTTTCTTTCAATTTGATTTTCAGTTTAGATCTGATTTGCTTTTGCATTCGATTTTCGTTTTTGGTCTGATTGTATTTGATTTTAATTTTTGGTAAAGGTTGAATTTGAAGGGTTCATGCCCTAGATCTGTAGAATTGCAGAATCTGAAAGCATATCAATCAAATTTGTTATTCGTTGTATGAACTGTATGATGATTATGTCGTTGCTCATGCTTCAAGTAACATTGGAACTAGTGATTCTCAAGTGGGAGGAGATCTTCTAATAGTCCTATAACTAGTTGCAATACAAAAGGAAAAACTAAGAGCATGTCAGAGTTTGATATATGAGCACAAGAGTTGGAAACTATTGAACCAAGCAAATCTGATTTGGACATATATTTGGAAGAAGGCTTTTACATTTGTAAAGGGAATTTAGATGTTGATTTTGATGCTTTAGATTGGTGTAAGGAAAACACTCTCAAGTTTCGCATTCTATCAAACATGGTACGTGACCAATATATCAATTCCTATCAGCACTGTAGCTTCTGAATCTGCTTTTAGTTCTTCTTTTCTTGAGATATTCTTAACAAATACGTATTTAGTTTTTTGGATGTTAGAATTTCTCAGCTTATATTTGAACGTGCATCATGAAGGTTTCATTTTTTTTTTGGCACAGTGGGCACCATGTGATACCATCATTGCGACGCCATTGCTTATTGCATTTGAACTGCTCCTCTGTATATATCTTGAGAGCATCTATGGTAGGGAATCAACACCCTATCACTGTTATTCAATATTGTTTTGGTGTGTTGAATCTTTGATGCATTACAATATAGTGCTTTTATTTTGTATGAGCTAATTATTTTGTTTTCCATCATTGCATATGAGTGATACTTGGGTGCCTAACTCTGGCAAGTTGGTCCAGACTCCAGAGTTCAACTTCTTTTTCACCTTGTCCTAATAATTTTTATTTGTAAGCTTTATGCCCGTTTGTGACTAAAACATAAATTCCTCTTATAAGAACTGTCTTTTTTGAATAGTAAAATATGTTATTTTGTACAGTCAATGGTTTTGCAGCTGTAAACTTGAGGATTGTCTTCCTTCCCTTGCTGGCATTTGAAATAACCATCCTAATGGACAATTTCAGGTGTTTCTCTAGCATTAATTCATAACCATTATTCTTGTTACCTTATAGTAGATTGATTTTGGGCTAGAAAGCATGGATACAGATACGAGATACGGATACGATACGATACGATACGGATACGGGGATACAGTAAAACTTAAAAAAGTAGGATACGGGTATGGCTAGGATACGTTTGTAAAAAATAAAAAATAAATAAATTATTAGCAATGAGTTACACATAAGCTCAAAAATGTTGAGAAATCACAGTAACTTTATAATGCAAAATACTAATCTTTAAGAATTAGGTATTAATCTGAGCTAATAGCTAGTTTAGTTTTTAAATTTTCAATAGATCTTGCAAATATTTCATTTCAATATCAAGTCTAATATATTGATATTATAATATCAAAACAATCCATAATTTGACCATATGTTTTTTCCTTTTGCACTAGTCAAAAATATTCTATACAAGTTTATTTTCTTATTTAATTATTGATATTTAATTTTACTATTGTTATATTATCTTATTAATCCTTACTTCTATGTAGTTATAGGGGACACGCATGATATAATAAAGATATGCCAATTTGATGAATTCTATTATTTGAGTTTACTATGTTATTTTTATTAAAAAAAAACTAAGCAAAGTATTGTAAAAATGTTCTATTTATTCTCGCAATTATATTATATCATGATGTTATGCAAAAAATAATACAATTCTAATTTCGTAAAAGGAGTAATACGTGACTTGGAGGATTTGATACTTCAAAATTAATTAATAAGTATCCGATAATATGTGAGTTGGAGTATCCGATACTTCCAAACTAAGTATCCGATACTTCAAAATTAATGAAAAATTAATTAAGAAGTATCCGATACTTTTAATAAGTATCTGATACGTATCCGTAAGTATCTGAGGAGTATCCGTATCCGATACAGATACGACATGGATATGTCTTCCTATTTGAAGTATCCGTGCTTCATAGATTTTGGGTGTTGGATTGTGGTGTCCTCCCTATAGAATGGGGTTTGTGTAGAGTTTCCACACTAAATATGTTGTCTCATGGTTGATTGTCCTTTATTTGATGAAATTGATAGATTAGATTGTTCAATTGCTAAATTGATTAATTGATTTGTTAGTTGATTGAATAATCAATTAATCACGTGGCATTGTTCAAAATTTCTATTAATGTGCTGAAAATTGGCCTATTCCTCTAGGAACAATTTCTTAGGTGCTTAGAATTTCAAAAGTAATATTGCCTGAAAACTACTATAGCAGATGCTGTTGCTGCCATTATTGCTGACAGGCTTGCCAACTGTTACTGGTTAAAAACAACCCTATATAATTTTCCTTTCAATTCTTTAACAAGTGAAGGTATGGAGCAGTCATCTATAATATTGAACATTAAGGAAGCATGCCTCTTGTTTTGACAGGCTAGTAGTTCCGGTCTTAGATGTTACCAGATTTGTTCATTGCTATGGATAACTTCATTTATTTAGGCGTATAAGTCGTGTCTATATAATTGGTCACTGTAAGGTGGATTTTGAGCGACAGATTTTTTCTTAATAAAATCACTGAAATACTCTCTTGACATTTTTCCTGCTGCAAATGTTGGGGAAACCATATCCTTTGAAAGTAAAAAAGAAAACTGCATTATTATAGTAATCTGTTAGAATTTACCAATTTGCTCCTCCACCTACCATCTCCACTAGCACCCACTTCACCTACCACCTCCACTACACTACACCTACTACCACCTTCTCTTCTATATATAGGAGTTGTAATACATAACACAAATCAATCAATCTTGTATCAATAAACATCAATCAATAATACATAAATTTTTACATGGTATCAGAGCAAGGTTAAGACCTTAGTATTTCTCGCTTCACCGGCGGGCGGCAACCTCGCCTTGGCCGCCCGCCGGACCTCAACCTATTCCGCTTATTTCTCTGCAGCCGGTGCGACAAGTTTGTGACCGCCGTCATGGTCTCCACACATGACTTCAAAGTATACTGATTGGCCTCAATATCAGTTTGCACCGCCATTTTTTGCTCCACCGACCGCATCGGAAAGTTCAACGGAGCAAAACCAGAGGTGTTTGGTTGAGGTTCACTGGCCACCGCACCAGTTATTTCTCTTGTGGACTCGTTCAATTCTAGAAAGAGCGTGAGCAGACCACGGGAAGAGGAGGCCATGTTCTGGGTAGCTGGACGGGAAGACGAGGCCATGTTGCTGAGTGTTTCAGAGACGGGTTGGTTACAGAGTATTACAAAGTTTCTCTCTCAGTAAAGGAAGAGTTTTTTTCAGAGGATTTTCAGAAGTTTTTTGTCTGCCTCAGCCTCAGCATCAACCTTGGTTAAATAAACGGGGCAGCCACGCGTATCGCGCGCCACTTGACGCCAGACGACAAACGGGCGCGCCAGCCAAGGCACTCACGTGCCTCGCCATCATGTCCGGCACATCTTTTTATGACTTGGGCTCGCATTTTGATGGCACGTCTTTTTATGGATTGGGCACGCCTTTTGATGGCACGCCTTTTGAAAGATTGGGTACACCTTTTGAGGATGCGACTTTTTATGGGTCCGACAAGACTCTGTAAACTGTCCCGACATTAATTCCGGTTAGCTCCTTCATGGGTCCGACAAGACTCTGTCAACTGTCCCGACATTGATTCCGGTTAGCTCCTTTATGGGTCCGACAAGACTCTGTAAACTGTCCCGACATTGATTCCGGTTAGTTTCTACAAGGGTCCAGCAAGACTCCGTATACTGTCACAACAACTGTCACAACAGTGTCTGTTACAACGGTCCGACATGACCCCGTAAACTGTCTTCTACATCGGTCCGACATGACCCCATAAACTGTCTTCTACATCGGTCTGACACGACCACACAGTGTCTGCTACAACGGTCCGACATACCAATTTGCTCCTCCACCTACCATCTCCACTAGCACCCACTTCACCTACCACCTCCACTACACTACACCTACTACCACCTTCTCTTCTATATAGGAGTTGTAATACATAACACAAATCAATCAATCTTGTATCAATAAACATCAATCAATAATACATAAATTTTTACATAATCCATGAGGAGTTAAACTTTGGTCCTTTTGCTTTGAAAAGACCACACCTGGCCATAGATTGCAAGTCATTTGCTTTAGGTGTCCTGTTTTCAAGTTTTAATAAATGCTTTACTAGCGATGACGAGATTAAATGAGTAACATTTTAAATAGAAAACTGACAGTAATTGGTTGAGAGAGAGCATCATATATTATTGGAAAGAGATTATTAATGATTTTAATACTACCTTCTCCCTTTTATTTTGTTGGGAGGAGTGTATGCTTCTCCCATTCGTTGGTTGTTGTTTAATTATTATTATTATTATTATTTTGAGTCTGTGAAACAATTGCTTGAGTAACACTAAGCAAAATGGATTTTTAAACTACTTTTTTTTCTTTTTTAAGGGACAAAAAACTGGAAAAAAGTGTATTTGGAAATGGCACCACATATGCCATAAGTTCTCTTCTCCTCTATGGTTCCTGAATTGTCTGATTCATCTATGTTGGGATGGCTGCTGCTGACTTTTTTTTGTCTCTTATGTTTTTATCTCATCACTGGTATCGAGGCAGTGTTCATATGATATAGAGAAGAACTATGGTTTAAGTAATTTGCTGGTCAAACAAGAAAGCTCACTAGTGATGGACAATAATGAACTTCCTTGCCAGCAAGAAAGCAACTTATAAGTAAGGACCAGGACCTTGTTGTTTATTTCTTTTTGTTTAATAGCAAACATAAGATATGTGAACTTCTGGGAAAAGGGAAAGGAGGGTGGAAGACAGTTCTTCTTTTTCTTCTTCTTCTTCCTTGCACCTATAAGATACTTGAATAACAGAGTGTTTACAAAATAGAAAGTTCCTGAAGATATCGTTGTTGTAAATATTGTTAACATGATCAGATTTAGAGTTCTATCTTTCAAAAACTTGAAGAGAAATTCAAAGGATGGGTGTTTTTTGTCCAAATGTAGACTTCTAGCCTCTATCTTTAAAGGGGCTTCGACTATATGAGTTGGCTGTGTTTTGTAACCTTTTTATTGTAGGTGGTTTTTTCCCGCCCATGTGTTCTGGTGTATGGCTGCTGTTGAATTAAAAAATGTGGAAGATAGGAGTTTTGAGGGTTGAGTGTTGTGTTCACTGTTATTTATCTTCCTGCTGGCTGAGAGTTTGAGTTTGTGGGTCTTGTGATCTAAGTATCTACCAAGTGTGGATGCTACTAGTTCATTTCATCTTGCTTATTGTGTTTGGATATTCCAGGTTATGCAGATGGACAATTTCTGCATTTTGCTGACTTTAAACTGATGGAAATTTTTGTAATCAATATTACAGAAAACTTAGCCTCTGCTAATTTGGCCTGTTAAATCAATGTCCTCAGTTTAAGCATGAGCTTTGATCATGCCCCATCTTTCCCACACTTTTTGCTTATCTTTTTAAATTTGATAATTATGCTTGATTTGTAGGCAACTGGAGAAACAGACCCTCATAATTGGTATTTGGGACTAAGGCTTCTGAGAGTGCCCAATTTTTATTGCACACTTGGTTTGTCATTTGTAAATGATAGATATAAAATAGTTAATATGCATCAAATTTATGAATATTTCGAAGATTTTTTCATCTGAATATTTAGATGATTCGTCTTGGTGATAAAAATGTAACGTCTACACAAGCAATAACACCCTCTTCAGTATTGGTTTAGGTTGTTCATCTTGCTATTTTTGGAGCTTGATATAATTCCACCATTTAATTGGAAAAAAATGTATTATAATTCTACATTGCAATCTGAAAGAAATTGCTTGAAGCTGATTTTTTTGGGTATAATGGTTGATGTGGTCTGGCTTCATTCAATGACTACCCATGGCATGACCAAGTTATAATGCCCTTCTACATTGGTTCCCTACAGTAATTGCAAAAAAGTACTCATCTTGGAAGAAAAAGTACTTGTCTAAATAGGAATATGTAGTTGAAAGCAGTTCTCATTCATATGTATTTGGTTTTTTTTTTTTTTGTTTTTTTGTTTTTTTGTCACAGTCCCACCTGATCCTTTTGGACCAATTCTAGTAGAGAATGACCCAGACAGAAATCAGGGTGTGTTGGTGGGTGAGACTTAGCAGGATCGAATGGAATGCAGACAATGGGGAGCTCACCCTCCCCATGTTGCAGGGATTCCTGGGCAAGCAGATTATGGGGCTCAGTCTGTAGCACTCTCTGGAGGCTATGAAGATGATGAGGATCACAGTGAATGGTTCCCATACACAGGAAGGTATGCTCATGGGTGCATTAGATATGTTATTGTTTGAGTAATGACCATTATAGGCAATGTGTATATTTTCACTGGCATCCCTATATATTGGGTTTTGGTGTCAAAGTTGCTCCTTCTTGAACATTTTTTCTTACAAGTTGTTGTTGAGTCATGCATATTTGTCATTACTGGTGCGTTGTCACTTGATTTGGTCTTTACATTGATGCTTATCTTGTAAAAATTTTGCAGAGTAAGATTTATCTAAATGGTAGGACTAAGTCAGGCAATTCATTGATGAACAGTCCAATTTTGTGTGGCTGGGCATAAACATCATTCCTGTGCTACTATAATACTTTCTATTTCTGTTCTTTTCATGCATGCATTGAGGTTGATCTATTTTCTATTTCTTTATCTATCTAAACTCTCTATCTATACATATATATTTGTGGACAGTGGTGGAAGAGACCTCAGTGGAAACAAAAGGACGAACAAGACAGTCATTTGATCAAAAGTTTGATAAAATGAATGAGGCATTACGGGTCAATTCAAGAAAAGGTTATCTCGTCCGAGTTGTGAGGTGAGTTTTGTCAATATGCTTAATATTGCATCTTCTAGTGAAATTGAATATTGAGTCTATGTTATTGAAATTTCTATGGGATGGACAAGGATAGAGGAGTTCTGACCATAGTATATAGTTCATTGCTTTTGGAGATTGGTGATGGGTAGCTCAATTTCTTTTCCTTCTCCTTTCTGAAAAGGAGTATGGTTGTGCAGAATTCTGTTGGTGTTGTTCATAGAATTTTTTTTTTACATGCAAAACATATCATAACTTTTAAATGTTGTTTATCACTAGATATATAACCATCTGTTCCCTTAATCGAAGTTTATTTGCAGGCCAGATATTTCTGATTTGGAAAAACGGCTTGCACCCTCGTCCCTATGATAGGAGCAAGTGGATTTGTTACAACTGCATCTACAACGGCTATAGAAATTGTTGTCGGTAGTTTTAGATAATCTCTTAATAGTTGTCGATATGTTTAGAAAGTTAGATATACATAATTTTGGATGGTTTAAACTTTTTGTACAGTTTAGAACTAAAGGATATAGTTTTCGAATGTATAGACAATTGTTGAATGTTTATAATTTATGGATATAGTTTCTTTGTGATGTTTCAAACAATATTTTGGTGGTTGATTAATGTTTTGTGATGCTTGTTTGTAATATTTGTTAGATTGTATAAAATTGGTCAAATAGAATCTGCTGAATTTAAAAAAGATAATAATAATAAAAATTACATATTCTACGGCAGGCATAATAAGTCGTTATATTACATATTTTATGGCGCGCAATCAGCGTCGTTATTTGTTTCACCAATTAATGGCGTGCAAAAGTAGTCGTAGAAAAAGTAATAACGACGCACAAAATCTGCTGTTAAATAGTTTTTAACGGCGTACTATAGCGTGTCATAGAAAAAGTAACAACGACGTACAAAATCTGTTGTTAAATAGTTTTTAATGGCGTACAAAGTATGTCGTTGAAAGTGAATGACTTTTCATGACTGGTCATAATATGACGCCCGTTTGCACGTCGTAGAAGGGTTTTTATGGCGTGCATTGCACGCCGTAAAAATCCTTCTTTGTTGTAGTGTAGTGAGAAGGGAGAAAGGAGATCTAGGGAGGGGGTGACAAATGAACGGTTGGAGGTGGTAGAGTGGAGTGATGAGAGGCTTGTGGTGGTAGGAAAGGCCTTGAGGTGGGGAAGGGTAGTGGTTGCAAGGGTGGCAGACTGCGAGGGCTTTAAGAGTGGGAAAGAGAGTTGTGTGGGTTGTGGTTTGTATAGTGGAAGGGGTTATGAGAGTGTTGGCAGTGGAGGAAATAATTGGGGGGTGGTGATCGGAGGTGATAACTATAGAATCAAGGTTTAGAAAATTAAAGGATGTAAACTGAAGATAAAAAGTTCGAGATGATATATTTTATGTAACCAAACCAAACCAAACCAAGCCTTTAGTCCCATCAAATGGGGTTGGCTACATGAATCCTTCTTCTCCACGCGACCCTATCAAAGGCCATTTCATTAGTCAAATTAAGTAGATTCATATCTCTATTTAAAACGCTAGTCAACGTTAATCTAGGCCTACCCCGTCCCCTAACACTTCCATCTACCGTTACAGTATCGCATCTCTTCATTACTGCCTCTGTTGGTCTCCGTTGAATATGACCAAACCATCTCAAACGATTCTCTCTCAACTTATCTTCTATCGGTGCTACTCCTACCCATTCCCGAATATACTCATTTTTAATCCTGTCTTATCTAGTCTTACCACACATCCACCTTAGCCTCCTCATCTCAGCCACACTTATCTTATCTACATGCTGTTTCTTGGTTGCCCAACACTCCGTCCCATACAACATAGTTGGTCTAATAGCCGTTCTGTAAAACTTACCTTTTAGTTTAGTGGGTATTCGTTTATCGCACAATACCCCAGACGCACTTCTCCACTTACACCATCTCGCCTTAATCTTATGGGCCACATCTGCATCAATCTCTCCCGCTGTTGTGATAATCGACCCTACATAATGAAAATATTCACTCTTAGGCAATTCTTGGTTTTCAATCTTCACTTCTCCTCTGCTTTCATTGTTACTGTTACTAAATTTACACTCCATGTATTCTGGAAACAAAAATAAAGAAACGAATCCTTTAGATTCAAGAGCGTTTCTCCAAATCTCCAATTTGGTATTAACTCATTCTCTAGTCTCATCCACTAACACAATATCGTCTGCAAAAAGCATACACCATGGCACGTCATCCTGAATATTTATCGGTCCATAACTAACGCAAAAAGATAAGGACTTAAGGTAGATCCTTGGTGTAACCCTACAGTGATAGGAAATTCATTTGTCTCTCCAACTGGCGATCTAATAGTGGTCACCACCCCTTCATACATGTCCCTAATCACGTCAATGTAACCTTTTGTCACCCCTTTCTTCTCTAACACCCACCATATTATATCCCGGGACATTCTGTCATATGCTTTCTCAAGGTCGATAAACAATATGAATGTCTCTTTTTTTTTTTCTTTATACTTTTCTGTTACTCTCCTCAAAAGATAGATCGCTTCCATTGTTGACCTACCAGGCATCAACCCAAATTGATTCTCTGACACCTCTGTTATATCTCGCAATCGGCGTTCCATCACCCTCTCCCACACTTTCATTATATCACACAATAGCTTGATTCCTCTATAGTTGTTACAATTCTGGACATCACCTTTATTCTTATAGATTGGCACTAAAATACTCTTCCTCCACTCATCTAGCATGTTCCTAGTCAACAAAATTTTGCTAAACAACCTAGTCAACCAACCAACTCCTTTTTTACCCAAACACTTCCAAGCTTCAATAGGGATATCATCGGGTCCTAAAGCCTTATTTGATTTCATCTTCTTAAGTGCAATTTTCACTTCAAAGTTCCTAATCCTGCGATAGAACCTATAGTCTTGGTTTATCGTATTACTGGCTATTTCTTCCCTTATTGTCGTACCTCTATGTTCCTCATTTAATAGTTTCTCAAAATAATTCTTCCATCTTTCCTTAATCTCATCATCCTTCACCAATACCTTAGAATCCTCACTCTTGATGCACTTTACTTGATTAAAATCTCTTGTTTTCCTCTCTCGTATCTTAGCAAGTTTGTATACCCTCTTCTCTCCCTCCTTACTATCTAGTCATAGGCCATCATATACTTTCAACTTGGTCTCTCTCACTACTTTGTTGACCTCCTTATTAGCCAATCTATAGCTATTAAGGTTTTCCTCAGTTCTATCTTTCTGCCACTTTTTAAAGTACTCTTTTTTTGCCTTAACTACCGCTTAAACCTCTTCCCTCCACCACCAAGTTTCCCTAGAGCTGGGTCCCGTTCCTTTCGACTCCCCAAGCACTCCCCTTGAGATGCTCCTCATACAATTGGCCATCGAGTTCCACATAGTGTGCATCACCTTCGAAGTCCCAAGTACCTTCCTTATCCATTCGATTCTTAAATATTTTCAATTTATCCCCTTTTAGGTCCCACCATTTTGTCCTACGACGCCCACCATCTTTCTTAGCTTGGTATTGCCCTCTAAAACATAAATCTAGTACCAAAATCCTATGTTGAAAGACCAGACTCTCTCCAGGAATCACCTTACAATTATTGCATTTTAGGCGGTCCACTTTTCTCACTCAGAAGTAATCTATTTGACTCTTAACTAATCCATTCTTAAAGGTTATCAAATGCTCCTCCCTCTTCTTATACATAGTATTGGCCACCACCAAGTCAAAAGCCAACGCAAAATCTAAGATATTCTCTCCAGCCTCATTTCTGTCACCAAAATCGTATCCACCATGCACCCTTTCATAACCTAGTTTATCTATGCCCACATGGCCATTAAAATCTCCACCTATAACCAGGTTCTCTCCTACAGGTATCTCCTGTAAGATCTCATCCATTTGCTCCAAAAAATCCCTTAGTCTGATCATCTAACCCTACTTGAGGGGCGTATGTGCTAATAATGTTCACTATATTCCCTCCAATAACTAGTTTAACTAGCATAATCCTATCTCCTTTCCTAGTGACCGCCAGTACACTTTCCACAAGACCCTTGGCAATTATGATTCCTACCCCATTCCTGCGTCTATCCTTACCACTATAATATAGTTTAAAACCAGTATCCTCAATTTCCCTAGTTTTATCTCCCGTCCACTTAGTTTCTTGTATACAAGTTATACTAACTCTCCTCCTAATCATAACATCTACCAATTCCATCGTCTTGCCAGTTAAGGTTCCTATGTTCCAAGTGGCTACCCTAAACCTATAGTCTTGGACTAGCTTCTTTACCCGCGCTCGTCCAGAAAAGCGCGGAAACCTTTGCCCATTTTTCACCGTACCCAGACGTCGATGCGGCGTCCCTTGCTCACTTTTCGAAACACCCGGAGACCGGCGCAACGCATCACTTGAGGGGAACGACCTATCATTTAAACGATTTAAAGTAGGATTCATTTTCATAAGGAATCCGAACGACTTTTTTACGTGTTGGCTGTCGGCTACCTAACACACAACCTTCCTCCTTAACCCAGGCTTGGGACTGGCGGAGTTGTTAACAACCCCGGCGGAGTTATATATTTTATGTCATTCAAATAAATTATCATTAAAAACAAAACACACACACCTTCCTTCTCATTTCCACCACTATGGACCACCACCACCTACTGCTAGTTTAATTTATTAAAATCGCACCAATCTATATTAATTCATACCGCTCTATCTGCTAATCGCAGATTGAATTTTAAAATTTATAATTCGTCTTTCAAATTGCTCCGCTCCTTTATAATTAATACATATATTTTTTTTAACCTCAAATGAAATATCAAAATAAAAATAAGTATGAGAGATATTTAAATTGTGAAATTTGTTACAAATTAGTAGTTATATATATATAAAACATATTATGTAAAATTAATTTGTGTTATATATGTATAAAAAAATATTATACAAATTAATATTATATATTATGCAAATGTTTAATAATTAGTTAGAATATTCCTCAATACATCAATCAGTTCAAAAACGTTCAAATCGTAATTTACCAATTCGCTAATCTACCACTCTGCCATTCAATTTGTAATTTTACTATCAAACCATCTAAATCATACCCCTACATCTGGATGAACGTCCACCTCACTAGAGTGGCACATATCTTTATCGTAATTATGTTTTCTTATTTACTTACTGAAAAATCTAGAAATCCCCTAGATGTTGATTTGTGATTATGTATCAATTTTAAGCAGAATATAACAATCCCAATCAAACAATCAAGGCAAAGAGACACAACGACTTTACGTAGAAAAAATCACAATTGTACACCTCCAACTGTGATTAAAAAATCACGGGCAACAGCCACAAAATAATCCACTAAGAAGATTTAAAAGAATTACACAGGTATACTCTCAATTACCTAGCGAATCCACGCCTAATTGAACCAACCTCTATGTGCCTCTTCCAACCTGTCTTCACCTCGGAATTGTCTTTACGATGAGCCACCCCGGAATCCACCAAAGCTTCAGGCTCGAATTCTTCAGAATCCAC